TGAGAGCAGCTCAACTCGCAGTATCTGACCTCCGCTGGCTTCTCCACAAACCGATGGATGGCGCCACACTTACGATGCACCGATACTACTCTTTATCATCAAATACAAGTACCGAGTACCAATATGAGTACTTAATAATACCATTACAGTTCTAACTATGACTTCAAAAATGTGTTTTATTTTCAACAGATGCTCCTAACTTTCTGACTGTAACACATTTCCAGGCTGCTAACTAACTCAACTAATGAGAGGTTACTTAACATCACCCTGCTTTAAAGTGGTATCGCAGTAGTTTCATGATTACAAGTACGAGCACATGAGCTCAGTAGGACCTGAAACCTGATACTGGTGATGGTGCATCTCTAGTTTCTGCCCATTAAGATTAAAATGTAACCCCAGAGTTTGAAACTAAAAACGGGGCCTGCAGCGCTCAGATTTTATGCATATTGTGGACAGTTTTTATAAAATTAGATTAAAATAAATGCCAATATATCTCCTTTCTTACAATATGGCAACATTAAAAGCATTGTGATTGCCAAAGCACAGCCCAAAAGCAAATGTAGCAGCACTTATGTGTTTTAAGTCCACTCCAACCCTAACAACTAGCTAACCATGTCAACAACTGACATCCACACAGACGTCATGAAAACACCTCTTATCTTCAGGAGTAGTGACTCATGAGGTGTTGCACAGCAGTTCAGCAAACAGGCGTTAGCCTAAAGATAGGAACAACTTCACTGCGATGAACCCACACCCTTACATGGATTTCTAAATCTGTCTTCCATAGAGCACCGAGCAGGTTCAATGTCAGGGTGGAGACGAGTGACAGGGCGCCAAAGAATCACAGTTTTGTCCTCTTAGAGTTTAGATTTTCTGGAAAAACTAACATTAAACTAACATTTCCAATATGAATCCGACTTTCTTTCAGTCATTGTGTCTAATTTTATCACACAACCACAAATGTTAGACGACCTGAAGAACCAGTATAACAACAGCTTTGCTGAACAAAGGGAGACAAAGAAAGCTTTACGTTCTGTCAAGGACAATTTAAGATGAAGAAGTGATGAAACATAGAGAGAGACAGACGAGAAGCAGCAGACGGGCAGATGGATAAGTTCTTGACATGTTTGGC